TCTATCTATCTATCTATCAATCAGATAAAAGGACAGAGAAAACTAGAAATCTATTACATCGGACAGCTTAATTTAGTGTTAAGAAAATCTATTAGGGGATAGTAATAGACATTGAGATAGGAAAGCCAAATATGAAGAGATGATGGTCTGTGAGAACTGCTGGGCATGAAGCTGTGTCACAGGAGGGTCAGTCTGGAGCGTGTAGATAAACTCTGAACTGGCAGACGTGTCAGGAGACAGGTCTCTCTAGAAGAACCAATAATAGAAGTGGGATAGGACGTGCAGCATGTAGAGACAGAGGAGCTGACCGCCACATCGCCTGCCTTAATGACTCTGTTAGTATTGATATTTCTGTCTCTCCGCCACTAATGGAGGCAGAAGATAAGATGGCCCTCAGTGGCATGGATGCCACAGCTTCTGCTGTGTATTCTAGTTCAAGTCTAAATCAGTACCACATAATTAGGGCTTTTCCTGCACGGCCATTTTTTTTCAGCTGCCACAATGCAAAATTGTAGCTTGCCAAAGCAAATTAAACGATATATGACCATGGTTTTGTTTTAGTAAGTGTAACTGTTTTATAAACAGAAATGTCACAGATTCATTAGAGGAATAGTACATCAAAAAATGCTAATTTGCTGAACATTTACTCACATTTACATTGGAGGTTGTGTCATAGGGTATGTTTAGTTTACACAACAACAGTTGTACTAAAAATGGAAAACTTTTTCCTTTGTGTTCTTAAAAAGTTTTGTGTTCAGACAACAGCGATGTCAAACGATCCCCAGGGGATCCATCAGTAGATGGCAATGTCACTTTATAAAGAAACACTACACGCCTGCACACATACACATTCCTACAGACTGAACACGGCATTTTTGCAAATGTGTTTTTGTACTTTATACAGAGATGATGATGGTATTGTTTTCACGAACTTGCATTCTGAAACCCGTTTTCAAAAGTTAGCATTTTCAGGCCCCCGTAAATGAATGAGCAAAATGCAGTAAAACCTTCTTAATTGCATCAGATTAAGAAAAATTGATGCTCTGCAGTGAATGGGTGCCGTCAGAATGAGAGTCCA